GGGGGGGGACACGCCCACAGAGCCATGAGCTTGTAGCAGGTACAGCTTCTTCAGGAGCTGCAGTCAAGCATTTGAAAAATCTCAAAGCTGGATCTGTAAAACACATGTAGTAAGAAGCCTATATGGCTTGCCACATACATATAAACTAATAATAATTAAGAGTTCCTTCCACTCAAAGCACCCACCTGCATGAGATCCAGTACACTCCCCACACAGGAGGAGGAGAGCAGAGTGGGGAAGCCAGTTCAGAGATGGGGGATTATCAGGAGGCCATGATGGGTAAAGGCCAGGGGGAAATTTCATCCAGGGTTTACCCCAGGGTATACCGGGGTAACACACCTACTCTTTTTGAGAAACCGCCTCGGGATTTTCAAATGATGACAGAGTCGGGACCTCGGTCTTACGTCTCATCCGGAGGACGGCGCCTGTTTACAGTGTAGTGTCCCCGTCACTATACTGGGGCTTGAGGACCCATAAACTACACAAATAAATTCACCAGTGTCCTGTGAAAGGCAAACAAGACAACCAAGGGTGTCAAAGCAACCACTGGCTTGTCAGTGGATTCTGGGAATCAGCTGTGGGTAAGTGTGAGGAGCGCAGGGTCTGGGATGCGATCCCGATTGCTGGCAGGCTCCGAGCACGCACACTGAAACTCCCAAGACAGAACAGAGCTCTCCTGTGACGATGAGCCACAGAGAATTTCCAACAGTACCAGTGAGGACAGCAGACCTGTTCTGCCCCTCCCAGGATTCGATCCCAGTCACTATTCAGGGTTTGGGCCCAGAGCGCCATTCTTTTGCCAGTGGAGGACTCCACCGATTTACATTTCCAGACTGCAGAGGGGGGTGACCTTACATTTATGCCTTACATTAGTAGCAGCTGCATTTCAAGTTAAAACCTGTCATAAATAAAAAGTCAAACTCTTAAAATATTTTTACACTTGACTGAGGATGAAATTCTATTCTGGTAGCTGTAACAATTTCAATAACATAGCAGAAGCAGCTGGCAAAAGGAAATCTTGCATCTCTGCAGGAAGGAATTATTAATGTGATTTGATCATTAATTTGACAGAAGACAACGTCTGATGTGCGCCTGACTACTGTGAAGACTCACTGCTGTGCCCAACTGGCTCCTCTGTGTCCATGATCTTCTCTCCATCCTCCTGGTACCCAGGTTCGAGAGGGGTGGGTGCTGCCATCCGGTCCCCCTCCTCCTCGTCCTCACTGTCCGAGTCGAAAACCACGATGGGTGGCTTTTTTACGGCCGGCTGCACTCCACTGGGACCTGTGAGAGAGAAAAGGAGAGAAAAAGAGTCAAAACAGCCCAAGTGGGCCAAACCCCCAGCCGATGAGTCAAAACAGCCCAAGTGGGCCAGACCCCCAGCAAAAGAGTCAAAACAGCCCAAG